GCTGGAGAAGGAAAGAGGTCTGCAGGGGCTGGGCTGTAGAGTACGGTGATGAATGTGGGTGACAATCTGTGGCAGCCTGCAGGGGTTTAGAGGCCAGGTGGGGTGACTGGGGAGCTGTGAGTGGTTTTTAATCATAGGCATCTTGTGAACAGATTTGTGTTTTCAAAAGCCGGCAGTCAAATGAAAACCAGGCTTAGAGTTTTCTAGCTGGAAGGAACTTCATAAAGCTTGTGATCTAAATGACCTGAGAAGGTTAACTGACAAGGTCAGAGTAACTCAGAATCAGTGTGTGAATAGGCCTAATTACACCTGCAGCAGCTGTCAGTGTGCTTTGGAGCCTGGGTGGCCTGCTTTCCCACAAGAACCATGACAGGACAGACCTTTGTGACAGGAGCTATGCCCAGAAAGTTGGGTCAACCTAGCCACTGTCACTCCTCCGGCAAGTGGTAGATCTGTGGCTCTGGCCAAGGATGTCCATCTCAAAGCCAAAGGCCTATTGCTTACTCCCTATAATCCTGGACTTGGGGATGCCACCTCCTGGCCAGTCCCCCCAGGTGCTGCCAGGTCTCACCCAACCCCTGGTTCTTGGAAGCAGAGGTTACAGGATGGGGTGCAGCATCTCTGAGTGGGGCCTTGGGAGAGAAGACAGCCACGGTAGCAATTCCTTCTGTTTCTGTCTGCAGCCCTGGAGCAGCTGCTGACGGAGCTGGACAACTTCCTCAGGATCCTCGACCAGGAGAACCTGAGCAGCACGGCCGTGGTGAAGAAGAGCTGCCTGGCCGAGCTCCTCCGGCTGTATACCAAGAGCAGCAGTAAGTATGGCCAGAGGCCTTGGGGAGGGCCTCATGGTTACGAGGGATGCTGTGGGGATTAGCCCAGCTGCCAGAGCAAAGTACCAACTGACTGGCAGCTTGGAGAGCAGCATTTGTCCTCTCATGCCTCCAGACACTGGAATCTGAGACCAAGGTGTCTGCAGGGCTGGTTCCTTCTGAGTCATCTCCCCTTGGCTTGTTGGTGGCCACCTTCTCTCTGAGTGCTCACCTGGTCTTCCCTCTGTACATGTCTCTGTCCTGATCTTTGCTTTTCTAAGGACATCAGGCATATGGGATTTGGGTCTACCCCATTGATCTAATTTTAATTACCTTTTAAAAGACCCTCTAAATACAGTCATATTATAAGGTACTAGGGGCTAGGATTTAACATAGGAATTTGGGGGAGACGCAATGCAGCCCTTAAGAGTGCAGGAGTGACCTGATTTGTTTAGGAGCTCCAGAACTCTCTGAACACCATGGAATCTCTGAACGTGGGAACCCACGAGGGAGGTCTTAGAGAAAGTATTTACAAACTACTTCTCACTTGTAGAAAGTATAGAAAGGATAATACACAGTGTAACAATAGCTTAGGCCAAGACTTAACTGGGTGCTTACTGTGCTTATATGCAGTAACTTGCTTTGTCTTCAAGACACTCCTATAAGTTTGGTGTTATTACAGAGGAGGAAACCGAGGCCTGGATAATTTACATAACTTGCACAGTATTATTACATAGTCCAAAAGAAAACATAGTTTTAAGACTTTGTAAATCACAAAGCCCTGAGTTCATCATTTTCCTCTTTTTATTGTGGTCGAGTGTACATAAAATGAAATGCACAGGTCCTAAGTATACAATGTAGCAAGTTTTTCCAGTTAAATATGGCTGTGTTACCCATTGCCCCAATAAGACACAGATCATTTCTTTTTAAAAAAAATAATTATTTTATTTAACTTTATTCATTCATTCGTTTATTTTAATTTGACCAGAGAGGGACACAGTGAGAGAGAGATAAAGCAAGCTACCAGGTCTAGGACTTGAACTGTGGTCAGCCATGTGGGAATCCAGTACCCTAACCACCACCCCACCTGCTGACCCAAGACACACAACATTTGTATCATCCAGAAAGTTCTGTCTTGCCCATTTTCACTTAATTTGCTTCTCCACCCAAGACAACCATTGTTCTGATTTCTTCTAGTATAGATTAATGCTACCTGTCCCAAAGCTTCGTATAAATGGAATCATGTGTGGGTACTTCAAAAAGTTCATGGAAAAGTTCGTGAAAATTCTTATATGAATACATGTTAATTTTATTATATTTATATGTTTATTATGTTTATTATTTTGTTATATTTATATGTTTATTAACATAAGAATATATTTTTAGGACAAAAAGTTTTTAAATCCAAGCAGTTTTTTATTATATGCATTTTCCATAGACTTTTTGAAGATCTGTTATCCACTGTAGACTCTGTATCTGGCTTCCTCTGCTCCAGAGTTCTACCATGATGTCAAGTGTGTCCCTAATTTGTTCTGCTCATTGCTGAGTAGTATTCTATTCAATGAATATACCAATCTGCATATTCACTCACTCTTTGGTGGGTATTTGTGTTGTTCATGAGTATGGGCTATTATGAATGAGGCCGCTATGAATATTCTTGCATAAGGTCTTCTTGTGGACATGTGACCTCATTTCTAACAACTCATACATTAATATTTAGAAAAAATACCATCTTGTGAAGTCAAAACAGTTGAGTGGATTATGTCTGATGTTTCAGAACTGGGAGGCTATGTGGGGACATTAAGGGACTGCCCAAGGGCATCCAGTCCATCTGCTTCATGGCAGGAACAGCCCAAGTCTGTGCCAGGGGAGAGACAGCTCCACCTGCTTTGGCCATCCCAGCCCGGAAATGCCCCCTCACATCCAACCTGAATCTGCCAGACTATATTTCATTTTGCTGTGTCATGATGGTTCCTTTTATTATGCCAGAAGGTGTGCATGTGCACAAGAGGAAGAGCGAGAGAGAGAGAGGTACCCCTACAATCATTTTTCCTCCAGTTCTCCATCCTATCAGCACAGGAACCTGAGCACACATATGTGTATTAGTTGTGTAAGTTTTTGGGGCTAGGACTCGAACCCTGGTAGGCCATATTGTTCCAGCTTCCTGTACATAGCACTTAATGAGGCTACATTGCAAAGCCTTCTCCTCCTTCCTCTTGTTTTGGTCCTAGTAGAACTAGATTTACTCTCTGCACAACCGAAGCTGTAAAACTGGAGCATGTTGCTATATGCCCGTCAGCCTTCTCTTCTGGAGAAACAATCCCAGCTGTCTTAGCCGCTCATCAGAGGTGTTTCTCAAGCCCCCCCTCCTGCCTTTGTAGCTCTCTGGGCCACCCCGCGGTTCCCAGGCTCCTCCTGGCTTTGTAGGCAGCGTCCGGCAGCCTGCTTCAAGTGCTGGTCAGCCATAGATCAAAGAAGCCCCTGGTGGGAATAGAGATGGGAAATCCACATTACAAGGCAGGAGAGTTAGAGGATGACTCACTCCACAGAAGGATGCATCAGTGGGCCCCTTCAAAAAGCACCCTCCCCAGACCATTCAGATGTGCTCTGACTGAGAACTTTCAATGACAGAGTGCACTGGGAGGTGGAAACACCTCTCATAATAGGTCTGACCCGTGGTTCTTGGTGCTAACCACTCTGGCAGAGTCTCCTGTCTTGGGCTGCCTTTTGGCTTAATGAACTTTGCAGCTTCCTGTCAGGCGACCTTAGTCTACCCTCAATCTGCTCTTCTAAAGTTAGCCCTTCTCACCCTTCCTCTGCAGCTTATAGGTGCCGAGAGGTGCTGAGAGCTGGTCAGGAGGCTCCCAGTGTGGGCCACCTCCAGATCACTGAGCAATGTGTATGACCATAACAAGGCCTGTGGTGACTGCTTATTAATAGCCCCTGTTTGACGGAGAACTTCCCTTCTGGTCTTCTTGCAACCCTTACACTGCCGAGTGGATAAAACAGCACTAACATTTATTGTGTACCTGACTATGTCCAGCACTCCCCTTAACGTGTGAAGTGCATGGGTGACATCATTTAATTCTTACTCGGAATCTAAGAGGGAGTGGTTTTTATCGTCACTCTATCAGCAAGCGAACTGAAGCTTGGTGAGTCATTTGTCCAAGGGCACAGGGCTGTGAGTTGCAGAGGCAGAACTTAGGCCTAGACAGGCAGAACTAACCATTTATACTCCCCTGGCCTCCTCACGCTCTGTTGCACCAGGTTCATTGTTGTGTTGCACAGGACGGAGTCCTCAGCTCCCCTTGGGCTGTGCCTTGGGCACACAGCTGCTCGGCCATGAACCAACTTGAAGTGGTCAACTGCCTCCATCTGAAAGCCTGGTCAGGTGGAGTCGATGCATAGAGAGGCAAGCCTTGGAGGCCAGGAAAACCATGAATGCTTTAAAAACTCTGTTACATGCCGCCACACATTTTGGGCAGAGTGTGAGTGAGTGTGTATGTGTGCACGCATGCATATCTGTATGTGTATGTCTACACTTTCCAAGTGGAATGTCCATTGCATTTTCTGACCTTTTATTTTCTTTAGTATAAAACGAATTTTCCACCCTCTGTTTTTTGTCTGGATGGCGAGGTGAAGACGCAGATTGAGGCACGTTTACTGGTCCTGGTTGCCTGCTGTCTGTTCATGCCTTCACCAGTCAGGGCCATGTGCTCGCCTCCCCTACTCAGAGGCTCCAAGGACGTTTCAGTGGCTGCTTCCCCCCCCCACACACACACACACTGGAAGTGTTCAAAGGCTCCATCTATCCAACTGTAACAGAGGCTCATGTCCCTCCTCCCGCTCCAGTTCTCTGGAAGGACCACACTCTATGGGCAAGGGCAGCTCCCCAGGAATTACACTTTCTCTGAGCACTGCAAGCCGTCTTCTCCAACAACACTGTGCTGTCGTCATTTCCCACCTGACTGCGCAACTATCCCATGTGGGTCTGTCTCCCCCACCAGACTTCGTGTAGTCAGAGACAAGGTCTGTTCTCTGCTGTATCAGCAGCACCAAGCCCACTGTGAATGGTTAATGCACTTCTCAAAATAAATGAGTAAGGGCCAGCTGTTTGACATAGTGGTTAAGGTGGCCGAATCCCATGTGGCTGGCTGTACAGTTTGAGTCCTGGACTTGGTGGCTTGAAAAACACACCGGGCACATATGTATGTGTGCCCACAATCCCAGCAGGAGAATGGAAGAGACAGGATTGTGACATGGCCATTCCCCTTGAGGGGTGCTTTCTCATTTTCTTTTTTTCTGTCTCGCTTCAGTGAGTACATGTGCCCTGCAGCTAAATAAATAGATAAATAAATAAATAATGAAAGAGTGAGTGAGTGAGTGAGTGAGTGATGATACAAAGTTCTCCAGCCCAAGGCTAAACTGCTTCCTTTGCTATGGGTTTGAATTGGTCCCTTGCCTCCCAGACAGTGGATGGCCCAGTAGCCTCCCTTCTAGGCCCAAGTTCACTATGCTTTTCCCACAACTATGGGACTTAGGAGCCTCTTACTTCCCACCCTGGTTATTCCTGGACTAGCAAACCTGTGTGAACCAAAACCAAGTCAGCCATAGCCCCCCCATGGTGGGAAAGGGCAGAGGGTCATACGTAGAGGTAAATATTTATATACATATATATTTACATATAAATAAACTAAAAATGGAAAATTATTGTTGATAACATGCATGATTAAGCCACTACCCAGTATATTCTAGATGGGAAACCACATTTTGTGTGCTGTGACGATGCTTAGGCGATGAATGTAAATTAATGAATTAAAAAAAAAGCTTCAGGAGAAAAACACGAAAACTATTTTTCTTGAAATTAAAAACAATGCATATTCGATGACTGCAGTAAGCTATATAGCCCCAGCTGGGTGCTACTTTATAGTATGTTCATTCTACTCACTGACGTTTCTGCCTAAAGTCAGACTTGTGTTCATGGATATGTGTATATCAGCTGCACTTGCTATTGGAAATGTTTAGATTAAGTTCATTAGCGAATCAATAAAATGAGGGGAAAGGCATAGAAAGCAACCATGGATACCAGAGACAGTGTGGGAGGAGGGTGGGACACGGCAGAGGGTGAGAGACAGGGAATCAAGGATGGCCAAAAAAAGCAAAATATACAGGAAACAAGAAATGGAAAATTATTTGTTGATGATAACACGTATATTGATGTGCTCAATGGAACCAATATACAGTGTATTCTGAATGGGAAATCTCATTTTGTATGTTGTAATGATGTATAGTGAATGAATATAAATAAATAAATTTAAATTTTAAAAAGTAAAAAAAAACAATAAATAAAATGTAAATAAATCTTTTTTAAAAGTAAATTTTAAAATATGAGAATATAAAATATCCTCCAAAAAAAATCTCTAAAATTGTGTCTACTGACAGTCTCTCCGGTAGTCCATTTATTTCTAAGGCTGTTACGTATGCGGATGTGCTGTCATTTCTTGTAATTACCATTTCCCTACTGTTGAGCCTGTGAGTTATCGCCCAGGTTTTAGGCTGTCATTTTAAATCTTATTTAGTTGTAAGGTTACCTTACTTTTTTAAGTCCCCTAATAGTTGAGGATTGTGCTCTTGAAAACTTAAGAAGTAGGAAGAAACAGGCAATATTTTATCATGATTTTTTTTCTCCTTTTCTGCAGGCGAAAAAATTGAGGCATAAGGGTTAGCTTTTTTGCCCAGAGTGATGCCATTAATGAGCTTGGCTTGGCAGAGATCCCCAAATCCTGCCTCCCCTGCATGCTCTGGAGAAGCTACCGCCCAGCCTCTGGTATCTCATTTGGCGGAAGTGTGCCTTAATAGCAGTTGCGGGGCCCCCCATTTGTACTTCATACAGTCCAGGGGTGACGCTCCGACTGTCCAGGCTCTGAGGTGGCAGTCCTCATCCCATGGGCTCATGGCTGGGGACCAGTCGGTCCTGCTCCTGTTCCTTTTGGATCTCCAGGCTCATTCTGTGCGCCAGTTGGCTGGAGGCTGGGCGGTCTGTGGCCATGGAACGGACTGGCTGGATTACTTGTTTGCCAAGGGTATGAATTGGCCCCGTGGTTCAGTAAGACTGACTCCAACCACAGGAATTTACCAGCCACAAGTTTCTAGGAAATGTAAATTAGGGGTCAAAAGTAAAATTCAGAAGATTTTGAAGAGGGAAAATCTCTAGGGTAAACTTCCTCTGAAGGGTCCTTGGGGGATTATAAACAGCGGACATTTAGGAGACCAGCTTTCCTCCAGCAGGCAGGCACTGGAAAGGTACCCTAACCTTAAGAGGGGACAGGTTGTGCCACTGTGGGGGACAGTGTATTGGATAGAGCAGGTGCTGGTGGCTCTCCAGTGTGAATTCCCAGGACACTCACTTCTTTAAACTCAGAGTTTGTATGATCTGGATGTCCAGTGCCTCCTCACCCCCACCCATGCTCCCCACACACACACACAATGGCACACCACCTTCCCCCCTACACACAATGGCACACCACCTTCCCACTGACACACAATGACACACCACCTTCCCCCCCACACACACGATGGCACACCACCTTCCCACACACACACACAATGACACACCACCTTCCCCC